TATATAGATGAAATCAGTGGGGCTTTATTATTATTATTTCTTTTGAGCGCTTTGGTCGATAAACTAATTGAAGTTTGCACCATTTAATTCCGCTGTCAAGCTTCAGGGCCGCGCGCGTTAGTTTGATTAAAATTAACTAGTTTATACAGAAAGCCGCGTTAGTTTTCCCGAAAAGCTCCTTGAACCATAAACAATTTATCGTATATCAACATATATAAATACAAGCATACTGAATCACATGTGTTAGAAAAACCCAAAACAAAACAAAAAAAAACATCGAAACCTAAATGTTTTTAAAAATTAACCAGCGATCAGGACCACTCCCATTTCTACCTGGCAGTAAATGCTGACAATGAAAAGCTGCGAATAAATCCTTAGTTAAAATGATAGCTACTGGTTCATATATATATAGTTTAATTTGAGAAAAAATAAAAAGTTATACCAAAAGAAACGACAACTTGAAAGATTTAAAGTCCGCGACCCGGGAATGGAAAAAAAAAAAAAAAAAAACTTGTGCTCCAAGAAAAGTGAAACATGAGCAGGTAGAGCTGAAAGAACCAGAACATCTGAATTCTGCAGGCTTTGAAAGTCAAACAGTCACTGCGTCATTTCCCCTGGAAAACAGCCTCCTGCTGCCTTCAATTGTTCCAATAAATGTCAGAATTTTTAAACATATCTAAAAATGAATCCTTAACGTTATTGAACTTGTTCAGCATTAGCCCCTTTTCACAAATCAACTAGTTTTAAAATTCAGATGTTTTTGGACTATTCCATGTTTGTTTGGGGATTCTTTTGCTCCGTAATCTTCTAAATCAAACTAAGTGGAGAAGTCTAAACTTGCACTCTTACCTCAGCTCACAGAGCGCTATTTATGGGAGGTTTTTACTTGTCCAAGCATGTCATGTGTTGATTTTTAACAACATGTCACAGTTTGCCACCAGTCTTGTACGATTGGTGGTACTCGGGCTCCCTTCTGTGGTACTTAAGAGACATTTTTGGTACCAGCAAGTTTATATGTCAGGCAAACTAATGTAAATCCTTTTTGTATGTCTACATTGCAGTCACAGACATGCATGTCTTCATAAGGACTCAAAGATGAAAGAGTTTTTAAAAAAAGATACGCATTGTTACACATTTTGGTTTGTAATTTAATCTCAGTTGTAATGCAGTTAGCCCTTTTGTTTGTTAGAGGACACTTGAGAACAAGTGTTGGATAGACTTCAATATCTGTCTCTCGACATGCAGAACTGGAAAAGGCAAACAGAAAATAAAAGGTGTAACTTAAAAAAATGCAAATGCCCATCATACCTTTCAGGTTCTAATACGATGTGGTGAAAACATGTTTTCCTTGCAATTAACTATGCACTACTATTTATTGGTTTATCACCCAGTATATGAGTAATATACACAGAGGTATGTGATTTTATTTATTAAATATGAAGGAATATATTTAGAAGTAACTATATTAGCTTAAAGCAGTCAAAATCAAATTTGCTGTTGTAGATATGATTGCAGCCTCTTAGAAAATGACGGAATCACAGCCTGATTAGATTAGTTATAAATGCTCCAAGCAAAAATGACAGCAGCATTTTGTGTTGCTAACAGTAAACTACATAAGTTGTGGTGGTCACATATGCTGGAGATATCGAGAGATATTTGCATTTACATTATCTTTTTCAGAGGCAGTACTAAGGTCAGTGTGTGCTATAGTGAGTAGTTAAAGCATGAGCTCATTTCATCTTACACTCAGTATTTTAACGAAAACGCTAATAATGATAAATGTATTTTAATTTGATCAGAAATTCAATATATTAACTGAACAAGTTCTGTATTTGGTCTGTTGCTACACAAAAAGTAATTTTTACCATTTAATCTAGAGAATAATGAGAATAAATAAACACTCTTTACCTAAAATGAAGAGAGTCAATCAAAACTAATGTGAATGCTGCAAAACAGGCAAGTCTGTAACAACCAGTATTAAGTATGAAGTTCTCCATCTAACATTATAAGAAAGCCCAATTATTTCCCTTGTGTTGCAATAGTAATTTTACATAAATCTGTACTTTATCCAGTTTGCTCATTCATTCATTCATTCATTCATTCATTCATTCATTCATTCATTCATTCATTCATTCATTCGTTCATTCATTCATTCACTTATTCATTCAAGTCTGAAAATAGTTCTTATCAAAACTGATTTACTAAAAAAGAACACATAAAGTGGTCGTTTATAATCTTATATATTCTCAAACAGCTCTGATTAATTTCATTTCAGATAAGCTGGCTATAAATAAATGTCTTTACTACTGGAAGAACTAGAAAAGTACTTGTGCATAACAACACTATATTCATTCTTAATGTTGAATCTGTGCTTCAGAAATTCAGCATTAAGATTATGCACAAATCGATTGGCTTAGTTATCTTTAATTCTGCTGATTCAGCACAGCTCAAATAGCACAGATTCTTAACCAGAACAATATACTGCACAGACAGGAATAAAAATGGTTTTGTGGGTCTAGACTGTTGTTTTGCCTTCATGCGTCATAACATTCAGTGTCAGTGTTGAAGAACTGGCATGACATTCATGTGCAGCGTCTCTGAACTGATTTAATCTAGAGGTTGTTTTCTGTGGAAATGTCAATTTGAGGAGGGCTGGGGCCTCATGCAGAGATTGTTCTGTATTAATTCAATTTCTTCTAAGAGCTGAGTGGTGACACTGTATAAGGTAGTACAGTCTTTACTTGAATTTACATAAAGGTTAAAGATTATGAAACACACACTAAAACATCAAGTTTTATTGATTGCGAGGGTTAGCTGACACATGCAGCTATTTCTCATTCATAAATTGTTATGAGCAACTTCAATACAGTTCAATTCAGTTTATTTATATAGCACCAATTCAAAACACACACATCATCTCAAGGCACTTTACACAGACAATTCAATTAATCATACACATGAATGGGTAAAAAAGTTTAATTTAAAAAAACAGCTGACTGCATAGGGTCATTGACTTTGAGACCTTGTGGAAATTATATTCACCTGCATTCTGTTGAGCATGCATGCAGCAACAGTGAAGAGGAAAAACTCTATTTCAACAAGAAGAAACCTCCAACAAAACCTGGCTCAGTGTGAGCAGCCTTTTGCTGAGGCCAGCTGAGGGTTTAAGAAGAGAGAAGGAGACATACAAAAGCTCCAGTTCTCATGTCAATGGATGAAAGTAGAATACAGTAGAATATGAGCCCAAATGTATGTCTAGGAGAGAAATAGGACTAAGCACTAAAAACAGGCTCACCTCTAACATCTATTATCAAAAGTGTTGATGGCAGCAGCCCATCTGATATTTCTCTCTTGGATTGCATCAGAGCCAAAAGGGACCAGATCAGATGAAGCTACTATGATGAGAAAAAGCAAAGAGAACATACAGTAAAGTCATGGGTTGAACTATCAAATACTGCAGAATGGAAGAATACAGATAGAGTGAAGTAGAATGATGAAAAGTGATCCCTATATTCGCCAACAGCCTAAACCTACAGCAGCATAAATATAGAATATAGCCCCAGAGATCCTTTTTTGGGTGAGGTATGCGAAAGGTAGAGTGAAGGAAATTACAAAATTTCTAAAATACAAAATCAATGTAAGCCCTTTATAATTTGTTGATATCATTTTTTTCAGACTTCTGTAATCTTGCAGATTTATGAGATTATTTGTTTGTTGTCTAAATGTTTTTGTTATTCTGTACAAATTAAGCCATTTGTTTGCATTTGATGATTTAGCCTTGCAAACTATAACACTCCTCATGTAATAATGTAATATTTTGAGTCAAAGTAATATTTTGCTTGTAATGAAACTGTATCTGAGACTAAGCATTAGGTTTTTCAGTTGAAATAATTGATATTTACAAATAGATCTGTATTATCATAAAGTCTTCTTTAACAGAAAACCATTAAAAAAACGAACAACAATTATTAGTGAAACTCTTTTAGGTTGTTTAAAAGTTTCAATATACTGACTTTTTAAAGCGGTAACTGACCTTTTAAAATAGGAGTAAAATGAATATGATTTTCCGGTGGTATAAAATGCATTATTGCTGCAATGTTTGAAATATAAAACCCAGAAGAATATATTGATTTTATTTGTATTGGTAGTCATATTCAGAAATTTAATTAGATCTCTTAGAGAAAATCTCCCTGTTTCCTTAGGGCTTATAAATAGTTAATTTATATTCAATGTCAGTCCTTGATCCAAATGCTGACTTCAATAAAAAAAAAAAAAAAAAAAAAAACAGCATTACAAAGTTATTATTTTTTTTTATCTTTGTTATTCTTGTGATTTTTTTTTTTCTCTGTACTTCTCTTATAAGTTTATCGTCAATTAAAATAAGCTTTAAAATATCCACATTTTGGTTTTTGGCAATTAATATATCAACATCCAATCAAGCATGCTCATATTTACCATGAACCTAATTAGTGGCATTTATTTTGAGAACCAGTAACTGCAAGCTTTTATATGTGATGGATGAAAGTAAAATATTTTCATAAAGATATTTTATTAAGTGCTTCAAATTTGTGCTGCTTACATAAAATCTTTATTTTTTCTTGTATTTATCCAGTACTCCCGATATAACAGAAAAACGTGCGAATAGAGTAAGCAAGTAGTTTCACAGAAGTGATAATCCACTCAGGTTTTAATTGCAAGACTATGACAATAAGTTGAAATGAAAATATGCAACAAGGAAAACTCAAACTAAATCTGAAAAGAAATGAAAGCTTATAAGCAAGTTAATGTGAAATAAAAGCAAAAGCTGGACATCATCCAGAGGACATCAGCCGAAGAACAAAGAAATGAAAGCACAACTGCGCGGGTGACGTGGAAATATTAACTGATGATTCGCTCCTTAATACCAGCGATGTTTAAAGTTTACCGAGCAGCATTTGAATGCACCAGCATTGGACTGCGCGCTGGCGGTCCGATGGAGAGGGGCTGAACTTTTCAGCAACACGCGTTTAGACAGCGCTCAAATAGTTTGGGGATGCTCGACTGGAGACAAGAAGGAGTAACGCAAAATGTTCATCGGTTAGTGGATACTCTATCCTGGACTATCTAACATCTTGTTTTTATAAAAAAGAGGAGAGAAAAGTTTTCTTCAAGAATTAAGGGTGAGTTCTAAATTGAAATTCCAGACTTCTTTTTATTTTAGAAAGTCGTGTATGAGCCCTCACTGTGATAAGGAATTTTTACCTTTTTCAAAAAATACTCTCTCTCACTGCTCTTTTATTGTGGGAATGATTTTGTGTTTGTCTTATGCTCTGTAGGAGTTTTTGTTCTAAACCAAAATCATGTTCACATCCTACATAAAGACTCTCAATGATATGGTATTTTCTACGGTAAGCGTATAGGTTTATAAGCACCACTGCATGTCTTTGCAATGCTGAGAGATGCATGGCTGCAGTAGAAATTTCTTTAAATAACACTTATTTGTCTTTAAACCCCAAAGCTTGCACACTCTTCCTTTGGTAAAAGACAATTTTGCATGTGTTCAGTTACATGCAATTATTTAATTTTTAATGTATGTCATTATTCAATATCCATCAGGTCAGTTATAAAATGTTAATATAATATATGGTGCATAAGTGGACACATATTCATGCAAATTCCTCTTGCTTCGCTTCAGTCTGACAGCCCTGAGGAGCAGCCGAGTACCGGAGTCTTGGGCCGTATTGGCAGTTGGTTCTCTCCTTGGAGGGGAAATTCTCCAAAATCCCTGGATGGAAATGACCTTTCAGCTTCTGATTTCACTCAGGGAGCAGAAGGTGAAGTAAAGGGCGAGGCTTATGTGAGACTCAGAGCAGAGGAGCAACATTATCAAGAGGGGGATACTAGTTCACTTGGCCGCCTTAAAGAGTTTCTTCCTTGTAAAGAGAAGGACGCCACTCAGTCTGCCCACAGAGAGGACTCAGTTCTGTGCAGCACTGAGACAGGAGAGGGAGGTTCAAAGGAGGAGGAGCTTGCAGAGGGGTGGAAGCAAAGAAGGCAGGGCGAAGATACAGAGAACAGCAACACTCCTTCAGCTAGTGGGAATCCTGAAAGGAATTTCAATAATTCGACACATCTTTCATCTTCGTCTAATCAGGGAGTGGCGTGGGACTTTGACCAGGCACCCACCCATCCACATGCACTGAGAAAAGCACAGGCTCAGACAGGTAAAAGGCTCCATGTGTACCTGGAGGAGACTAGTGTGATCCAATGTGGCCAGAACACCTGTGCTGGAAAGGAAGTTATTCGCAAAACAGTCAAAAAGACCTTACAGGTCCCCCGTAACTCAAAGTTATCACAAAGCTTTGATTTAGTTACAAGCTCAAGTCCAACAAATGCTGAAAAAAATGTGAGCCAGGCTGCTGGAGCACAAAGTTTTTACAGTGTTCTAGGGGGAGTGTCACTAAAAACACACAAAGACTTGTGTTTAGAGACCGAGACTGAGCCAACAGAGGCAGACGACATGGGGCGTAAAAACGCAGGCAGAAGAAGAGTCAGGAAGAATTCTCAAGGAAATGGAGTCAAAAGCCCCACAGACAAAAGCCCTCAACCAAACACTCAACCAGCAGATGGATGTCCTCTACCAGGCACCTCTGCAGACAGTCCACAAGGCAAAATTTCAAACGCTGACCTTAAAGAAATATCCACAGACTCCTCCTCTAGGCTAGGCCCCTCCTTACAGGTCTCACCTGAAGGAGGAGAAAGCAAGTTTCCTTCCAAAGATATGGTCAAGCAGTTGGACCGGCTCCAGAACTCAATCACAGTCTCTATGGCCGACCAAACGGACAAGGTGGACGTGGGAGCAGACATGGAAGAGGATGAGAGACTTTACAAGGTACAGAGGAAGACAGAGACCCCAGAGTCTAAACGCAGGAGTATTAAGGTTTCCAAAAGTGAAGTTAAGATATTTCCAAAAAATGTTCCTCTTGAACCAAAACAAAATGCAAGACAAGATCAGCGGGATTTCAACAATGCTTTAAAAGACATCGCAGAAGAAGAAAAGCCCAAAACTGAGAAGGATGCAAGGTAAGTTAAGTATTATGTGATATATAAAGTTATAAAAACTTTTGTACTGCAAATACAGCACAAATTTGTAAGAAGGTAAACAGTGAAATATTTAAATTGGATTGTGTACTTCCGGTAAATGTCACTTAGTAGACATTTTTCCAGAGCAGGTTAAAGGTGTGGGTGCAATTGAGTCAGGCTTATCCACTTAGAAACAAAGGTGTGAGTCATAACACAAAGTTCAAGCCTGAGCTTCAGGATTGGACTTGTAAAAGTGTAGAGATCTAAACTGAGTTCACATAAATCTTTGGGATATTAGGCAATTACCAGAAGATTAAGAGGGTATTTGTCAATAGAAAGTATGTGGTTATAAGATGGTTATCTCTAAATGCTGCGCAATTTTGATTATTACCTTTTGTTTTGCACAGCCCCCCTCACCCAAAAAAGGTTGTTGAAGAGCCCAAACCTGTTGGTGGCCGGATTGCAGATAAAATCAACCTATTTGAGCCAAAAAAACGAGATAGGGGTTTCAACAAGACCTTCCAGACACCGAGAAGTGCAGATGTCTCTCCAAACAGAACTGTCTCACACAAGTTTCAAGCAGACTTTCTTTTGTCTGAGCAGAGGTCAAAATCTGCTGAACGTTGCGGCAGCCCAGTGTCAGGTGATGGTGAGAAACCAATGACCATCAAGGAGCGTGTGAGAAAATTTGCAGAAGCATCAAACTTAAAACCAAAACCAGGACCACCTCAAATGCCACATTTAAAAGGAACAACTCAAAGTTCCTACTCTTCTGTGGCAGTTCCAGTATCAAAGTCGTCAGAACTGGACATTCAGGATAAACTAGATACGAAACAGTTAGTTCATACAAAACCAAAGTCAGAGATAACACCAAAACCAGATGGACAGGATTGTTCCACCACAAGGGTGCAGATGCCCACTGAGAAAGAGGATTTAGCAGATTTGGAAGATGCTACAAATAACATGACACAACAGCCCAAAAGTCCAAGCAGGTCTAAAAGAAGGAAAAATAAAGAAATGGATAATCAAGTCAGCTCAGAGATACCAATCCATGAGGAAAATTCAGAGGAACAACTTCCAACGATAACCACATTACCACCTGAAAAACTCCAGAGAGACAATTCAGGGTCCCAGCCTATGTCTAAATCTAATCAAGAGGAAATTAAAAATGAACCAGAGCAAGCTGCTGAATCACCTTTTACCAGAGATGAACCTGATATTGCTAGCTTTAGCAAGGAAACAAAAGGGGCCTTTGAAAAGGATGCTGACATTTTACCTGCACCAGAGAAAAAAGCAGAAGAAAATAGCCTTACATCAACTCAAGACAGACAAAACTCCTCGGAGGACAGTAGTGAAACTTCAACCTCTTCCTCATCAACAGCTCCTTCATCTGAACATCTTAAAATGCCTCCGGCAGCAGATCTGCAGTTGTCTGCTAAAAAATCCAAACTAGATGATGATTTATCTATGCATCTCAGATCATCCAGTAAGCAGGAAGGATGCACATCGGCTAAAGGTGAAGCGGAACAAAGCCAGCTTCCTTCAAGCACAGGCACAGTGCTAATATATCAAGCTGAGACTGAAGATGTGAAAAAAATTGAAATAATGAACAATGGAAATGTACATCTTCCTGAGGGGAGAGAAAAGACTCAGCAGCATCTGCCTTCAGACACTCGTCCTACAATGGATAGTATTTCAGACAGCAGGCAAGGTATAAGATTGAAAGAGCAAAGTGCTGAAGAACCAAACCCGCCTGAAAAAAACGGTCAAATATCAGAAAATTCCATGGGATCATCAGCCCTCCATGTAGAAACACAAAAACCCACTGAGGCGTTGACTGTACCTGAAGAGAAAGCTGCTATTTGTACAATCACCTCGACTAATGAGGCTGTGAGTGCGACAGAGAGTGATAAAGAGCCACAGAAGGCAGAGACAGTCACAAATGTGCCTCCTGAGTCACAAACAGAACTCACTGAGAGCCCTGGAATACAAAGTGAGTTGGTGGCCAGAGTAGGCATTGTCAATTCTGTATCCATGGAAAAAACAGAGAATTCACTTTATGAGTCATGCACACATGGAGCTAATGATGCTGAGGTCTCAAAGTCCGAACCTATTACCAAAGCATCTACACCAGATGAAGGAGTGAGTGCAAAAGACACTAATGAAACTCTTATGGAGATACCTGCTCAGGTTAATGTGACATTCAAGGAAAAGACAGATTCAGTTGGTGAAGATTATTCTTGTATTCCTGACAATGAATCTAAATTCAGCAAAGGTCTTAGAGAAGAGGACAGGGAAAAAGGTGCTGCTCTGCTATCAGTGCAAGAAAACATAAAAAAAATCAGAAAGCCAACTCTTTGGTCTGAGGATTCAAAAAGCACCGACAGTAGGATTAATGTCTCCTCACTCAGGGATGCAGAGAAAATAACTCAAAGCCCCACTGATAGCATCACACTTCACTTGACAGGTAATGAAATGGAAAAAGCAGCAGAGAAAAGATTCACTCTGCCGGCAAAAACCCTCACACCTGTTGCTAATGGTGTTATTCCTTCACATTCTCAACTCCACCAAGTCATAAAGGAGCCAACAAATGACATGCTGAGTCCAACTCCGAAAGCTCCTCTACCACCAGGAGCTAATTATTCATCTATGAGGAGACTCAATTTACCAAAGGAGCTTATGAACAATAACTCCCCCGAGAAGCAAGAAACACCATCCAGCTGGCTAGATGTAGATGTTCCCAAGCGCAAGCTGAAAGTACAAGAGGCAAAGCTGACCTCTTCTGGAAGTGAGAGCAACCTGTTGGATACTCCTGGTGAACTTGATGATGACGATTTTGTTGAAAGAATAAAGAAACTCTGCGCCCCATTTTCTGTTCCGCCCCGTAAGCACAACCACCTTCGGACACCCCAGCCTCCCTTTGCAATGCCGGCCATTAAGGAGGCCCGCTTTGAGAAGACATTTGACCCTGAGGAGTTCACATTTGGCTTGAGGAAGAAGAAAGAGCTTACTTTTGATACAACTCCAAGCCTTTTAGCCAAGTTGCAGAGCACAGAGACGAAATCTGGCTTGATACCCGCCAGAGCAAGCTTTGTTGACAGGAGCCTGCTACTCAGCAGCCTTGATTCTCATCCTCGTCTCAAGGAAAAGGATGTTGAAAGGGTTGAGGAAGAGGGAAAAGAAGAGAAAGAGGATCAAATAAAAGTTAAATCTCGCTTGGAGAGAAGCGGCCTCCTCAGCAGTCTAACCTCCTCTCTCATTAGAGGTAAGAGGAATGGAGTTCAGTCTCCAGCTGAAGGCTCCAGCTCAGACAGCGTGTTGCCTAGTGAAACCCCCCAGCTCAGCTCTCTAACTTCACCCCAGCCGGCCCCTCAAAGCCCAACAGCCTCAGATACAATCAAAAACACAGCTGTGAAGCAGAGCGGAGAGGAAAGCCGTGCAGCAGAAACTGTGGTCAATGACTCAGTTCCTCCACTTCCGGCTTTTAACGACATCAAGCTGCCTGACTATTTAGAGAAGTACCGCCCACAGGAACAAGCAAAAGCAGTACCCGGATTACAAGAACAGGACCAAGTCAAACCAGAGGTTAGTTTCTCTCTGTCTTCTAAGAAAAATATTAGAAAGTCACTCTTATTGATGCATAATGAAGTAAAGCAAAGGAATAAACTGAACATAGAAGGCTACTGCACTAATAAAACTGAGTAAAACTAATAAAGAGAACTTTGATAAACAGTGAGACAAAGAATCCACTAAAAATGTCTCTATTTCTGTCCCAGCTTACGGGCAAAATGGAATCTCTGCTTTCTGGAGGTATTGCAGAGGGAATTACAAAACCAGCTCTGGTGCTTCCTGACTCAGCTGCTCCACTTTTCCCTGGGATTTCACCAACCACACAACCTAGGCATCTATCTAAGGATCCTTTGACCAAACCCTACGAGGCACTCAGAAACACTGTAAGTACATTACAAGCATGCTGCTGCAGGATGCTTTGCTGTCTTGTGCAACAGATTAATCCTCTACAGTTAGACGTATCAGGTTTCAGTTGTTGGCATGGTGAACTGGAGACTGTTTTAACTACAATTTCCATAAAAGTGCATCTCACATGGCTGTTATGAAAAACAATGTTTGTGTCATTTACAGCACAGCTATTATTTAAATTATTTAGCTCTGTTTTTGTAACATTTCTCATGTAGTGTATTTGGTTTTGTAAATAAAGAAACATAACTGCAACTAATGAGGATTTTGGTTATCCTTTAGGCTGAAACCACTTTTACCCAACATACAGCAGACAATTTTTGACATTTATAAAATGAATTAAATGTGCTCATATTTCTCATTGAACACTAGGGAGGTTAAACCTTCCTTGTAGAGTTCATATAATTATCGGTAAAATATGCATTGTTAATTTTCATAAATGTAGACATTAATCTGTAGATTAAATATGTGTTAATATATTTGTCAAAATGCACCTGATTTCATGAGTATGTTGCATATGAATTGGCTGCGATCTCCCCTCCTACCGGAGCAGCAGAACGCTACCTGTCGAGAGCTATGAGAAATCCCTGTTGAGCTTTGAGCCTCGGTCTATTGAACCAAGCAGCGAGAAAGTAGAACCCTGATTGGATAACACTCCAAAATACTTCACTTCCACTGAGGTTAAACTTCTTAGAGGGTCTATGGAGCAGGGGCGGGTCAAAAAGTTGGCTGCTTGATGCTGATTGGTAAACATATTTAAGGATTCTTAACCGACAGTGGTCAAACAGCGAGGAGGTTTTCCATGAGTCAGTAGGGAAAAATGATCATTCAGTCAGAACAGACATCTGGTGCTGAACTCTTGCTGTGTTTTTTTTTGGGAGTTTATTCTTAGAGTTCCCATTGTAGCAATGTGTTTTATGGGTTTCAATATTTGTTAATGCACTAGGTGACCTTTGGATTTCATTAACACCTTTCCGATCCCCTGTTTCAGACAGCATCAGTCACCACCGGCTAAAGCTTACAGTAAAACCTCAACTGTTAACAGAGATGCACAATAATTCAAAACATTTCAACCATTTTGCAGCCCTTTTGTTTAGAGATTAACTGATGTAGCCAATTCTCTCAAACGTCTGTCATGGTGGATCTGCCTTTGGCCTTTGTAAGTTCTCTGACAAAGGACTACAAAATATACACACTCATTTTTATAAACTATGTTTTAATTTAACTATTTAATTTTTATAAACGACTTTGAATTGACAAAACAATTGCTGTAACCTCCTGATGGACAAGTATACCCATTTTAATCAAAGCAAAATGTGTCTAATTTTTATGTCAATTTCCAGTGAACAACTAGGTACATAGGTGACTATGCTGTTTATAACTTTTGAGCTGCTGTACAAATGAGTAGAAATTGTAGTTTTTAATTGATTTATACTTCCAGGGTAATTAAAGGTTTTTCTTCCCATATAGACTCTTGTACTGTCACTCCTAAATTCAGAGTTACTGTAAACTATGTCTGTATCTTTTAGAACAAGACATGAAATCCAAAACATTGTCAATGAAAATTAAAAAGAACTTATATTTGAGTTGTTTAATTTATCATTGGATTGTTTTTTTTTTTGGCTTGCTGTTGTAATTTTGGTATAATTACACAGGAACCGGTGTTAAATGTTGTATTTGCCATGTGAGAGGGTTGTCTTGGGTAAATGTTGAATTGTACGTTTGTCAACAGCCATTTGTTTGCAACTCAAAGCAGTGTGTTATTACAGAGTTATGGTTGACCAAGTTCTTTGGTTTTATTTTGTTGCCTGTAATTTGTAGTTTCTAAAGCATTCTTGGAGTGTTTGGAGCATTTATTTACAAAGAGTTTATTTGCCTGTTTTTAGGTAAATTTTCTCAGAATTGTGCTGTTTCATAGTGAAATTAGTCACCTCCCAAAAGAGTGAAAATAATCTATAGTCATGTTAATCTGCAGACACTGAACTGCTAAATTGTGGCACAGTTTAACATGCTTAGAATTTATCAGATGTTTGCCATGCTTTAAGGCATTGTCGCAGTCCTAATTATTTGTTTTTTGTGTTCCAGATAAGAGCCGTCAAGGGATTTCATACACGCCCTGGAAAGGTACAGTAGGCAAAACCTTTGCCAGCAGATAACACAAGCAAGATGCGAAAAGGAATCCAAACAGAAAACACTTGGTTTTAATGAAAACATCTGCTTTTCATATTGTAGTTGTGGGAGTGAATGAAAGCACATTAAAAAAGTATTTTGCAAATGTACAGCTGGGCATAATTAGCATCATGAATGTAAAGCATTTAACACAGGGCAAAAGTCAAGGATCTTCATTAGCGTATGACTTTATAATAGCTGTTGCAACTAAGCCAGTTATTCCCTAGATGCATACTTAGCCTGCAACCTTCTGCTGTTGCTGTGCTGTGGATCAATTGCCATAAAACAGATATTTTCTGTACTTGTTTAGGTCTTCTGAGGCAAGTAAGAAAAAAAAATCCTATTCACTGGAAAAGACCATTTTTGTGTAATGGTTATTTGGTTTTTACAATTTTTTAATTCTATCACACTAAAACACATCAAAATAACTTAAAGTGAATCAAAAACATTAACAGCATACCATCTATGTCTAACCCTCAATGGGCTTTTTAGGCTTAGCAAACATCAGCATTTATCTGTTCATATGCTTTCAATCAGTCCTGTTTTACCACGAAGCGCTTATTTAGTGATGCTTTTTTTCCATTATTTTCCTGCATGCTTAATGTGGTGGAATGTTTTATAATGCCCTCTGTGTCTCCATGCAGATTGTGTTGTTTGAAAAACCCCAGTTCAGTGGCCAAGCATATGAGATTTACAGGGATATGGCAGATGCTTCGTCTCTGGAGCTCTCACCTCTCATATCAGTGAATGTTATAAGGGGATGGTAAGTGTATATATATAAAACAAGAAGCTTCAGCTGATGTACTGTGAGATGTCGTTCCAATTAATGTCAACTGACTTTGTGAGGCTTAAGTTAGAAGTTAGAGGTTCCCACGTGATTCATTTGGTGAAATATCAGAATTTAGCCTCTCATCCTTCCTAACTGCACCATTTTCAAAGACCCCTCCATGGAGTGTATATCCTTGATGCCTTAAGGCAAGGTAGATGAAGGGCTTATGGCTTTTTTCAAAGGAATGCCACAATTAATACACCAGAGGTATTGTCATCCCCTGTAAAAATAAAAGAAAATCTAAATTATAGTTTTAGTGAAGTTAAAATCTCACACAAATATTTATTATTTCATATTTAAATATTTAGTATTTAAACCTCTCTCCTGTTTGTCTGTAATCCTGGTTACTATATTATGAGGTTTATTCATTATGTCATGCAACAGCATATTTATAGAGACATTTTTTGTTGCTTTGGTCACTCATTCTAAATCAGGATTCTGCTCAGGAACATTTGTGACCTACTTCTTAAGATTTCAATTCAGTATGTTCTAATAATTTGGGATAGGCTGCGGAAACAATGAAACATGAATCGATTATTGTCATAATTGTCAACTAATTTAGTAATCCATTAATCGTTAACTGGAGTAGTAAGACTCTTAAGCATGCCTTTAGCTTACAGAGCGACTCCCTTAGAGGAGTAATTATATCAAAATTGTAAAAGAAAAAATAAACATTTTGGATTTAGGATTTTTGTCTTTCAATATGCTTTATCAAGAACTCAAATGGAAACACGTTAGTTTCACCTGGTTTTATTTTGTAAAAACTGTTGTTTAAGGAACCAATTTCAATCCGATTATTAATCGATTAATAATCTGTCAATTAAAATAATCGATTTGCGAAAAAATCGTTAGTTGCAGCCCTAACTTGGTAGTTCTGTACTTCATTTATTCTATTCTAAATGGTCCCTATAGCTTTATGAATAGAAACAGACAATCTAAAAGATGAAATTACTATATTTTTCCACAGACCCTTCTTTGCTTTTCACTAGACCCACCTGGGGAGTTTTTTTTTCCATAATCACTATTCTAATCCTATGATAAAAAGCTTGGTATGTCCGATGAAGTCACATTTAGTCAAATCAATAACTGTCATAGAAATAGTTTTGGTTATTTTTCATCAATTTTCCAGTTTTGTCCCAATTTGCACTTTTATTAAATTAAAATGCTGCTGTTACAGCAGACTGCACATGCACTGCAGAAAGCTGTCTTTTTTTTTTCAGTGCAACTGCTGTAAATTTCTGCTCTATGATCCTGTGCTATAAAAATAGCAAAAAATAATTTTGTGCTTCTGTTTATTTCTGCATCGCTGAGCAACAAGAAAAAATGTAGATGCAAATATACTTGTCTTTGTTTGAGTAATACAATTCTTAGATTGGTAAATAAGAAATATATTTTAAAATAATCTGGTGTCACCTTCTGCGAGCTCATTGAGCCAAAATAAATCAACATTCTCTCATTTTAAACAAATATGAAGAAGGAAAAGCAATCTTATTTACAAGGCGGCTGGATATATCCTTTCTCTGTCAAGTGTTGATTTTACACTTAAGTTAATTCAAATATTAATCAGACATTTCTTGCATGAATTTCCCTTGGATATACAAATAAACTTACCAAGCTAAACTAATTAGAAACTGGCAATAAGGCAGCCAGTAATCGTATTTGCATACAAGACAAAAGAGGCATCATCCAGATAGTTTTCAGTTAGTTAATTAAAAATGTTTACACCAAACCACCATTCTTTATGTTTGCATTTCTTCTGTATGAGAAAAATTGTGGTCATATTGCAGCTGGATCCTCTACGAGAAACCTGACTTTCAGGGACGCGTCATTGCCTTAGAAGAAGGTGGACTAGATTTGGAAAATATGTGGGCAGACCCTGGACAAACAGAAGCAGAAAACAGCCTGTTTGTTATTGGTTCCATTCGACTTGCTATCAGGGTGGGTAAACTCATTAACTTCACTTCATTTTCACCTTTTTTTTTACCTTGAATAACCTGTTATGTTTAGTCCAAATTGTAGAACAGAAAGGTTAATGTATTTATCACTGATCTGCTTTAGGTTTTATGGCAGATTTATTGGACATTTTGATAATTGTTTTAACCTCTTTTCCTCTTCTTTCTCTGTAGGATTATAGCATCCCTCATATTGATCTGTTTACTGAACCAGAGGGCCTTGGCAGACTAACGTCTTACCATGATGATACTATAGAAACAGGCTCATTTGGTATCCCGCTGAATACTGCTTCCATCCAAGTGCACTCTGGAGTGTGAGTATCAGTGTTTATGTAGCATCTGATTTCATTTGGGTTTCAACATATCTGATCAGCGGTCTGCTTGAAATGATAAAAAGAACCGACTAATGTAGTGTAATAGAAAATACCAAGCTTGAAATCATTAATATATCTATGTTTTTATATTTGATTTAATTTTCACAACAGACATATGATTTTAGATCTATTTTTCTTTACATTATTTTATAAACTTAGAATTATACCTAATAACATTTTTGATTTCAAGCTGCAACTAAATATGAAGTTAATAATAAAGGTAAAAAAAAAAAAAAATAATAAAGGTAAAAAAAAAAACATATTTACTATCTATATAAGAATTGGTTTAGAAATTACGGTAGTAATACGCTTGGCTGTAAAAAAAAAAAAAGTTCTTTAAAGTGACAATGACCCTCCAAAGATTACTCCAATCATCTTTGGCAATAATGCTGCATTTATTCTGTAATTCTAGGATTTATTTCACAAGCTGAAAACATGCATATTATTATTATTATTATTTTTTTTTTTTTTTGCAACTTTAGCTTCATTTTATACTGTGTGTAGTATGGAGCACAGAGTCAACCAGGAAAATCTAGCAGTCTAAATCCGAACTGGAACTAAATAGTCAAGCTTTTGCAGACAAATAATTTGCATTTAAATGCTGAGCCTCATCTATTCCCTGTTCAAGAAACACACTGTTGTTTTATGTTGCTCTCTTTTCGGAGATTATATAGCTGAAACCATTTCGATCCATCTGAACAAAACATACGACTGCAGCCAAAGCCCCAGTGATGTTTAGTAAACTCCACATTTCCATTTGTGGTTCTAGCAGTGAAATATATATATATATATATAGCAGTTTACTGATCCTTTGGTCTTTTTCGATGCATTTTTTTAAAAGTGAGTTTCAAAAACTTGATTGCTTCTATTTTTACAATCATTTTCACTTTACACAAACAGTTTTTTGTCTTGCTTTTAGTTGTTTTAAACTTTTAGTTATTGTCTTGACTGTAGATAAGTTAAAGTAGGTTGTCTTTTAACAATCATTTAAACAGGCAAGCTTTAGTGATACAGCAGGCACTTACATATCATGCTTAGTTCTCTGTTCCAGCAGTTTCAAAGCTGTTGAGAACATGCAGTGGGAAAACACTTATGTAAAAGCTTTCTGTTATTATGAGCAATTAAAGCTGAGTTGAATTATAATCTTCAACAGGGAAAATGCCTCAAGGCTCATAGGGACAAAGACATTGCAGTTGAAAGCATATGTGGCTCTCCTTTTTGCCCACACTTATGTTGCTTTTTTTAATTGATTCAGACTTATTAGAGGTTCACTGAAGGGCAGAAATATTCTCTGCTTTGAAAATATGAAATAGGTTGAATTATAATAATCATTCATTTCATTTTCTTTGCATGGATTTTTACTCTTCTGCAAGAGTGAGAATGTTTGTCCTGCCATTACATGTCAGAGGTGTCAACTTGGCGAAGCAAAGATTGTTTTTCCACTGGAGAGGTGTAGGGATTCAGGACAGTTTGTGCCCTCCTTCAGGAAGCAATAAATGGTATTAGACTTCTGTTCTTAACAGCTGCTTTTTCAGCTCTACATTCGGAGGTAAATGTTACTTTAGAAGTTGTTTGACTATCCTCACAGATACAAACAAAATAGATAGGTGTCAGATTTCATCTACACTGATAATGCCAAAGATCTTCTCTAGCTGCTCATTCTGTAAAATATTTTCTCATGTAGAGACAACTGTGCAGCAGATGTAGATTTGTTCCAGCCACATGGAGCAAAGCTGCTCCTTTACTGTAGGGTTGGCATCGCCTCCTGGTATAACTTCTTCAGCTGTGGCTGAGAGGGATGGGTTGTTTTTTCCTGCCAGAGGCTCACACGTGGTCATTGGTATGAGACATTGGTATTGTACTGGAAATGCCAGACAAAAGGGGGCAAAAAAGACTGCCCACCATAAAAACTGTTGCATGCCATTCCATTTCCTCTTTTGTTATTTGCTCAAGTTTGTATCACTTTTATTTAAAGAAGGTGCAAAATTAAACCTGAATAAGCATTCATGAGTAAACACTTTGTCATCAAGGTGATGGCAACCACAAAGCAGGCTAAAATGGAGGGCAAACGGGTTGGTCTTTGATTTCAACTAAAGATTTCTCTAGTGCAAGCTGTCAGACTTGAACAAGACTCCTGGATATAGGGTCGAAATGTCTTCAGGAAAATCTAGCAAAAGTCTGGCTACGTACACTTTAAGCTGTTTTGCGTAAACCTAAATAAAATTCCCGGTAAATTATTATTATTATAATTTTTTTGAAAATGCTGATTAAAGCAAAATGGGTCCTTCTTTGGAAAGACTTTCAGCTTTTTTAATAAGTACCCCATGAACCTTTTGCTATTTGAGCACATTAGATCCTCAAAGTGCAGTTCATTTAAGGGGTCCTACTACTGTTTAATCATTGCTCAGTTATTTCATTCAAAATAGGTATAGCTCAGTCATAGAAGATGGAAGATCTATGAACTCAGCATATGTAACAGACCAATGTAGTATCGAATATTTTTTTACCTAAACTATTCATTTATAGCTCGGGCTGTGTGTTTAGGGATCTTCTGCTGGTGGAAAGTAAACATTCTTTTCAGGCTCAAGTTTTTTTCACATTCCCTAACAGGTTTATTGCCAGAATTATCCTGTTTAAGCTGCACTCATCTTCACATCAGTTCTGTCCATGTTACTCTGAAGATGCAGATGCCCTCATCATGATACTCCCTCTAACTTATGCTAATATGGTGATAGTGCATTCAAGACCATGCACAGTATCATAGGTGTGCTAAATATGTCCTCTACTAAGCTTATGCCAAGGTACAAATATTATCTTATTAGGTCATGTTTATTACTGGAAAAAATAGGTTTAAGTTTCCATATATCTTCAAAACTCTGCATCTCTGTGTCAGAATATCACAACCATCACTGTTCCCAACAACCTCAATAAGTTGTTACATTCATGCTAATTTTGCACAGTTTCTACCTTAGTCAGTTAAATAACATGCTGCTGTAATTTTTCACATTTCTGATGTTGCTGCTAATTCGTCACTATTATTTTATTCTTATACACTTTTCTAAGGTCCACATTTTTGTGACAATTTTTTCTACAATCTTTTTACTGCTGTAACACCAGAATTCCCTATTGTGGGACAATAAAGGGATTTTCTATTCTATTCTATCCAAAAAATCCCTATAAAATGAACTTCAGTTTGTGCTTTCAATGTGACAAATCTGAACGGTTATGAACTTTATGCCAATGGCTTCCTTTGATTCTCAATGTTATAGTTCAGGATAACATGGAGAGAGTTTTTGACATAACATACAGTTAAATGGTGACATTGCTGTTTCTGCTTTTTCTCTCAGGTGGTTGCTTTTTAGTGATCCAGGATTTCAAGGCATGGTTGGGGTGCTTGAAAAAGGAGTGTATCCTGTTCCTGAGGCTTGGGGCTTTACTTCACCATTTGTGGGATCTCTTAGACCACTAAAAATGGTATGTAATTGTGTATGCATTTTTTTTTTTTTTTTATACAGATAACAGTCTGGATAAGAGGTTATTTCTAAAATGGAAAAATAAACAGGAAAACTCTTTGAACTCTGAATTTCCAGATGGAGGTTTCTCACCAACTTCACAAACATGATAGCTGCAGTAATAAACTGTTTTTGCACTTGTAGTGATATGGGGTCATTTAACCTGCAAAACAAACAAACCAAAAAAATATATGACCTCTATTTGTTATTACTGTTGCTGGTGATTGTTGCCTTGTTTGTGTTTTTGAAAACATTAAATTCATCAGCAGTTTTTTACATTGCTAATTATTAGCTTTGGGACTGAGTAAAAGACATAGCAACTCCTATTGTTTTCTAACTGAAACATGATTATATGAGTGCAATGTTATTCCCAGATGTACCATCTGGTTTTGGAGAAAAATGGAACACAGCATGAGGAGCAAATGTCGCTCCTTAGTTCACTCCCCATTTGATTAGCATCTTTACAAAGTTTTATTTTAATTACTATAATTGCATGGGATGATTTGTACTGATAAAGAATTGGAGAGGTTAGATGTAAATGAACAGGTGGATAGTAATCACTGGCGTTCTCTGTGCCAATTTAACTGTAAGCTAAGTTCAGTGGACTTTAATACTGTGAGCCATCTTGGCTTTTTGAGCCTATTAGCTTTATCTTACAGCTAGTTTGATTAGAATTAAGCTTGTCAATGGTTCATTAAATTTGCTCATTGTACCAAAGGATGCCCAAATACAAACATTGGTGTTTTTTATTGCCATTTTAAGAGTTAATCTTACTAAAAAATGGATGTTATACACTATTTATGGAGCACAATAAATGTCTCATTTCTTTTTTCTAATTCTTTTCCTCCTGATCTTTTTCTAATTTTTCTCTAATAAAAAAAAAATCAATCTGAAACTAACTCCATCCATCTTCCTATTAACTCTGCTCAGGATCCCATTATGTTTCACATTTTATCCAGTGCATTCTGGGTGCTACTTTTTATTTTTATGTTCTTTTTAGATGTGTGAAGTCAGCTGGATTTCCACAATTTTATATCAGATCAAAGAAGTTTAAATAACTTTGAAAAACATGTGTCCTTTAGTCATGCTCTAGTTTAGGTTACAGTAATGTCCTTTACCATGCTTTAGATTATTTGCTGTAACCTGTTCAAATGTGGGACAGTTAAAGGAATAGTAGTGCTTTGGTGGGACTTTATTTTTAGTGCACCTGTGTGATCCTGCTTATCTTTCCTTGGGTTACATAATCCAGTTGGACACATGATTCTGAGTCATGAGGTGGAATTACAAAAAGAATCTACATTTTAATACATTCTTGATGTCAAACCTTAAGCCCACAACCTTTAAAAGAGTAATCATCCAATTAAACCTTATACTTTTTATATTGTGTAAGTGCATGACAAGGCAAATGTCATTTTCATCAACATGCAACTATTTGTTTTGTCTGGAGCTTATTATAAAATGCGGCTCTGCCACATTGTCAGTTCTAGAGAAATGCATGGGAATATTATCTATAAGAGGGTAATTAGCAGCTTACAGTACCCTACTGGTTTTATTTTCTCTTGCATTTTGCTTTACAGTGTAAATAAGCCCAGGTGTGTTGCTTTGTGCAAAGGCTTTTGGTGTGACAGTATGCGTCAACATTCTTTCACTTTGTTTTTAAACCTGTAATTACTTTCTATATCGGTATTTATCAAACAATACAACTTGTGTTATGCATTAGCTTTATTAAGTTTTATGACATATAAACAATAATTGATTGTGATGATGTTTCTTTTCCAGGGTGGCTTTAAAGTGGAGAATCCAAACGAAGTTAAGGTATGCATTTCACCTCTTGCTGCCAACTTGTCTTTTTTAGCTTGAAAAGGTGTTAAAAAAAAGCTCTTATTATTGAAATTTACCGATTGAGATGGTGTACAGATCTTACTTTGGGCTAAAAGAAAAAAAGTAACAATGGTGTGGAATTTCCAATTAACCCATTAAAAAAAATCTATATTCCTAAAGTTAAGCATGAGAACATGAAAGTCTGGTTTCAAATTCATGCTTCGATGCTGTAGCTCAAAAACAGCAGAGAGTGTAAATAACATATTGCTGATGCAAACTCAAACAAACTGATATATCATGTCATCTTGGCTTTATGTTGGAAAATTAAAGGTATTGCAAATTCAATAAAATGCTTGATCATGTTCATCTGTGAATTATTAAAATATAAAATTTTGATTTTTTTTAAATAACAACATTGGAATTTATGGTCCTAAATACTCTATGTGAATCTTTTTGCAGGCCCTGGTGTATGAAAAGCCAGGCTTTATGGGCTCCTGCTTGGAAATTGACAGTGACGTCTCGAGCTTTTTTGAGACAGAAGGAGGCTTCACTGCAGACCCAGCAAACTTTGATACAACTGCACTCAAATCTGTGGGATCTTTAAAGATTACTGGAGGATTGTGAGTGTTCTTCTCAGACATCCTTACCTTGTGCAAGCTAAAACATAGTTATTAGTCTTGCAGCCTCACTGAGAATATATTCAGTTTTTTAATTTGTTGGAACATTAATTTAAGTGTAGATGGTTTCCTCTTACAGCTGGGTGGGCTACAATCAGCCTGGGTTCGAGGGTCAACAGCACATCCTGGAGGAAGGGGAGTACCTGGACTGCAGTGAATGGGGAGGCTCTGAGCTTCTGTCTCTACGACCAGTAATATCTGTGAGTCATGAACTGCACGCATTCTTTAGACCTTTGTATGACTAAAGCAGCTGAAAGCATGTAATGAATTGGAATGCGAGAGCTGGATAATGCATGAAAGTGAACAGGCAGATTTTTGTGGTTGATATAGAGATATAAAGTTTAATACTGATGCTTAAGATATAAATATACAATTAGGGCTCTAGACAAAGTTTTCAGGACATGTTCAGGACAGCATTGCTATGCAGGCTAAAAACATCACTGTGCTCCAAGGGTAATGTTCACATTCAGGTTTAGGGCAGTGCCATATACTGCTATAAAAGCACTCCAAGGTTTAATTAGAAGCCAGGGAGAATATTTGCATGTCTGACGATTTTCTAGCTATTTTAAGTGTAGAGTAATGCAGCAACGGAAAAAATTCCCATGTTGATACAAAAAGGAATCCCCCTTTACCTTCATTATAATAATGGTGTTTTGAAACTCAGTTACAGACTGGCTATCAGAGCAGATAACCGGACTATTTAAACAGCTAATATCAGCCTTTTTGGATTTCAGCATTCGACTATAATGAACGAAACTATAATGGTTTGATGCTCTGGGCAATAAGTGGTCAAAAATGACAGTAAAATTCAGCCAGTGTTTTTTTTGTCCAATTAAAAGCAGATAAATAAACCAATTAGAGAGATTGCACACACAATAAGTCCAACAGCTTCAATTTTGCAGTTGCAGGTCAGTCATAATCTTAGTAATGAAAAATCTTGAACAACCCAAAAAGAATGATCATGTGAACATTAGAAAAAAATAGGAAAATATTGATAGTTGCATTTTATCATTATTGTTGGTAAGTAATAAATGATACAATAATGTAAGCTACCTTCTAATTATTTTTTCTTAATATAGTTATGTACAGTAAATACATTTATAGATATAATTTTTACAGGACTATAAAGCATTTTTGTCTTTTTTAAATAAATCATTTACATCATGTGACATAATGTTTTATAATTCTGTTATGCTACTCTGATAACATGGTCATTTTATGCAAAATGATCCCACAATGAGAATCTGAGATTACACCAACTGAGGAGAGTAGGTGTAAAATCATGGGAAATTGGGTTAAGAAACACTCAATAAATCATCATTTTATAACTATTAAGAAAAATCTCTACTTATAGAGTATTAATAAGTATTTATAAGTATTATATATTTATAAGTATTTTATATTGTTTGATGATAAACATTTTGATGGGCTGTGAAAGGTTAGTCATTATTTTGTTCCTACAAAAAAAAAGGAAAGAATTACACTGGAAAAAAGGTTGTATTAATGAATTATTTATCTTTGTTCATCTTTAACTATAATGTTTTTTTATTTTTGTGACAGGATTTTCTGTCTCCACACCTGAAACTGTTCAGGGACAAAAACTTTGGCAAGCTTGGAGGGAACATGGACCTCACTGTGCCTGTTATCAACATGGATGAAACTGAGTGCGGCATGAAAACGCAGTCCATTGATGTCACTAGTGGAGTGTAAGTGACACCTGTTAACATCCTTGCAGTTTTCATCTTTATCCAAGTAGCTCATAAAAAAAAATACGTAAGCATGCTCTATAGGAGATATAAAATGATTCCTTAGCATATGTTTTAAATTCTAGTCATTTGCATGCTTTATAATCCTGTCTTAGCATTCAAGTACATAATAAGCTACGAGTTCCTGCAAAGCGCTCTTAGCGGTTTACTGCGATTCTTCTTTGTTTAAGTGTAGACAGCAGAACTGCCACACCCAAACAGACAGGTTTAGACATATGCTAAAATCCACTAATGTTTTTTTAGTTTTTAGCCCACTGCACTTCCCCGTTTAGGTGTGCTTATGTTGGAGCATGCCACCTCACACCCTGCTGTGGTGTGGGATAATTGTGAAATTCAGTTAGACTATGTGTAGAGGAGGTGCATGCTTTTACTCATGAGCTCTTTTTATACACTTGGCTAGAAAACTGGAAAACAACCCAATATAGATGTGGTATTTCTTGGTGGCTTCTATTTAAAGTTTTTTTTATGTTGTGATCAGTTAAATAAATGTGGAAGTAAACAAACTGGGAGCAAATAGAGATAATGAAATGCAGAACATGCAATGGAGACTTCTGCTTCCCAAGGGAGAAACTAATGAAACTGTTATTACTGCGGAGCGGAACATTCTGTCCTTTACAAGACAAAACTCTCACAGCACTGAAATTCTTGCTGTGCCGCTAGTATGCTATTATACTACACCGCCTTGCTCATGCTAGCTGCCATGCCTGAGAGCCTCTGATTGGCTCTTATGGGTTTGAATTCTACTTGCAACACACACAATATATCCTCTAACTCACATGTTCTTTCCTTTTTTTTTTCTTTTCCTACCATTTCAAAAGCAGCACAGTTTTCCATGATAATTTTAAACATCACATTTTTTAAAGAAATAAAAAAAACTGATAATCCATCACGTGACAAGCTACCATTTATTTTGGATTCTGGCCAAACATCTTTGGCATTCAAAAGGACTGTGAACAACTTGGATTCCTGCGGTGTTCTTTCTAATGCACTGTGGTCACGTCAAAGCCTTACCTGTCTCTATTAATTAAATTAAAATGAAACAATCTTTATATTTGTCAAAGTGATCATGCTAATTATTTTTAAAAAATGTTTGTCCTCAGCTGGGTTATATTTGAAGAGCCAGCCTTCTGTGGTGAGTCCTACATCCTGGAGAAAGGCCTGTATGGGAGCCCGGAGGACTGGGGTGCACTTCAGCACAAAGTTGGCTCAGTTATGCCTATCCTACTGGTAAGAGCAGTGACTCACAGGAAAACCCTGAAATCCCGTTTTATTTGCTTTGGTGGAAAAAGTTCCCCTGTTGTTACTCATACGGTCCACCAATGTGTTATTCCTTGACATTTTGTTGCTAAAGCAGTCAGTGTTTTTGTTTGGACAGAGCGGTTACATGAGCATATGTGATGAGATTTCACTTCCTCAGCGCTGCTCATACCCTCCACATGTGACCAGTCACAACATTCATACTTTTAGCTTAATCTAATAATAAGGCGGAGCAGAGAACTCTCTTAAGTTCTCATACAAGCTTCTGAAGAGATGTTATTAAACTCAGGATTATGAGTCACCTTAAGAATGAATTTGTGGCATTTTGAAAGGGAAAATTATAAGAATGAGCATGACAATGTTCCAAAATACGAAGATGACTCATATAAAGCTGTTTTGGCCTTAAACAAGAGGATAAAGAGGCACTGTTTAAGCAGTGGAATGTGGCATAGCAGCAAGAATCAAGTGAAAATAATAGATTTGCCTTAGATGTAAGACATAATAATTCTTCCTAAACCAAAACAGGAAAAAAGAATGGAAATCAGAGAAATCGGCATATTACATCTCGTCTGGTTCTAGTAGCTTGAATCAAAACAAGCAAACAATAGAAAACATAAAAAAAATACTAGAAATTCAATACGCCTAGTATTGCAATATAAAAACTGCTTGCTTAAAATGAAGCAATCTTGAGTTAGTTGTGTTAATAAAGTCCTGCTTCAAATATAAATCATTCCTGTCGTTATTTAATCGAAGACAGTCTGTTAGGTCGTAGCATTCAAACCTAAAATGACTTGTATACTATTTAGGCTGTCAGAGTATAAGTATAAAAGAATATGTCATATGGGCACTGAGTCATGGTTACTAAAAACAAAGACAAGTTCCTCTATCTGAGCTAAAATTACAGCCTTCATCCCCATTATATAATAGACCCTACAATATCACCTACTGCCTGCCTGTATTGACTTTATGACAGGTTCTACTGTAACTCTAGCTTATGCTAACTACGTAGCTGGTTAAACACTAATGTTATCATTAGTGAAAAAATTCTTTCTTTGCATTTTTGTTTTTTACAAATTTAAACTTTAATAAATGCACGGAAGTGCTCAGTTAAAGGGGAAAATTTCTGATTTTTCAAAACGCAACCTTAAAAACTTTGGTGTTCATTTGGCTCAACATCTGAAGTCACTCTGCTATCTACAGCTTAAAGTGTATTACACTCAATCTAATAGGAAGAAAAACTATTTGTCTTTTGAGATGGACCTAATATGAAAATACCCTGGTCAATCTTAAATATCTAATCCTGTATAATAATCCTACTACTAAAAAAAAGCTGTCATATGCGGACGCACAGTATGTACTGTATATATCCCATGCAACTTTTTCCTTCCTTTGGTACCTTCTTTTTCTTTTTACTATTTGAGCTAATGTAAATTTCTCCCCAGTGAAATCAATACAGTCAATCAATTAATCAATCAATTAATAAACTAAGGATGGTTAAATCAAGTCCAGTATCCAGTGTTTTAAATGTGTTCTGAGTCAAAAAGACCCGAAAAATCTTTCATTTGTTTTTTCCTGAACAAATTGACAACAACCTTAGAATAAAACCAGGCACTTAATTTCATTGTTGGTGGGATACACCTAAAATATGCAGGACCCTGGCTTCTTAATAGTTGAGATGAACTTGAAAAGTTCTTTGATAACCTGCTTTAAACTTGAACAATTGTATCTCTAACCTTTCTGCTGTGTTCCTTGGTTCCTTCATGTTTTGTTTTACTAATAACTATCTGAGGTCTTCATAAAAACATATGACTTAAAACCTTAAATGCATTAGACACAATTTGAATCTGTTCCTAATGAAATGACTACTGAAGGCAATCAGATGGAATGGATTTTATTCGGATGCTAGGATTAAAATGGGTGAATAGAAAATGCACACAATACTTTTCATATTTTTTAAAATAATTTTCTTTCCACCACATCTGTGCTTCTTTATGTTTGACCATCATGTAAAATATCACTGAAATGAATGTTTATGGATGTAAAACGATTTATAAACCTGCAACTCTGAACTTTTAAACCAGAATCCATTATTTACAAGGACTAACTCATGTCTAGTTTTTAAACAAAGCTCTTTTTTTTTTGCTGGTTTCCATTTGAAATCATGAGGAAAACTATATTGAGTGGCTGCTTTCTATTAAGTTCAATCAATTTATAGACATTGAACTTATCAACCACTGACTCAATCTGAGAATATTTTTTTAAGTAGATAAATAAAGAGCTGGAGGTTATTGCTGGCTTTTAACAAGTTCACAGATATTGATATAAAGTTGGACATATCTCAGCCTTACAGGGTAGTTCTATATATTTTAATAGCAGGCAGTGTCAGCAAACCCTGACCAGTCTTATCAGCTTTATTCGAGAAACTGTTAAGGTCATGCTTTATTCATAAGCAGGTTTGTGGAATCTTATTAAAATGCAATCCATCGTCTTTCTCTAAGGCTAACTGATAATAAAGCTGATTTTGAGACCATGCAAAACCTCCCAAAGACACTGAGTCCAACTAAGCCCTTACAAGGAAGCAAGAGTTTTGATTTACACATGGATACACAGCTCATAATGACTGGCAAAAACATTTTTGACAATAAGGCATAGTTGGTACTTTAGTTTTCTTTATGATTTTATTACCGGTAGGCTGATTATTTTTAATCTGTTTATTTTTTTCTTTACTTTCAGGATGATTTTGAAAACACACCCAAGTTTAAGGTAGGCTCTAAATCAAAATGCATGGCGAAAAATGTGAAATGTTTTTGTTCTTCTGATCTGATGATGTTTATTATTATTATTTTTTTGTGTGTGTGTCCCTCAGGTGCAGCTTTTCTCAGATTCTGGTTTCCAGGGCTCTGTCCTTGTCCTGGAGGACAGTACAAACTGCCTGCAGGATGGTTTTTCAGTTGGTTCCTGCAAGGTCCTGGCAGGGAGGTGAGCAATGCCACACATTGTAGAGAAAAACATAGCACCGTAGCTATTTTTGAGTTATGACACAGGTTGAATCAGTAGTGCTTAAACACACTTTGCGACAAGCGTTGAAAATTGGAGCTTAAACGTAGATGACCTTGTATGATCGGCAGAAACTGTTGTAGCTGAATAGAAATGTTTTTCAGACTCCTAGAGCTCTACTTTCTAGTTAGTATCTCAAATGGGCGCTGGTTCAATTGCATATGTTATACACTGTTTTTTGTATACTTTATTATGTTTTTTTATTTAATCTAACAATGCAAAACGAAATGTAAAAAACAAGAAAACTTGTTTTTAATTCTACTTCTTATTTTTCCCTTTAAACTGATGCCCATCTTCATGCAAACGCTTCGCAGCTGGGTGGCATTTGAAGGGAAGAACTTCACAGGAAAGATGTATGTGTTAGAAGAAGGAAGCTACCCAGATCTGAGGGCGATGGGCTGTGTCGGTGGGAGCTCATCAATCCTGTCACTGCAGACTGCTGGCTTTGTAAGTCCTTTTTTTGATTCTAATGTTAGTCACCCACCCAATTTTTCTATTTACTTATCCTTAAAAGCAATCTTTTAAAACATCCAAGATATGTTGTGTTTCATAAATCAGTATGTAAAAGGTGAAGTCACAGATTATTTGTTTCGTGGACTCTTCGTCCTGCAACAATTTAGGTTATTTTTAGGATAAGAACAATACAATTTTATTGCTTTTTCTTTTGCACACAGTTGAGATGCATAAACTGAAATGCAATCAAATTGAAGTTATAGGTTAGCTTTTCAAAACATGCAAATTAGATTGACTGCCTTTAAGTTTAACCTAAATGATTTTCAAATTGATTAGGAGGCATCAGTCATTGAAAGTACCTTAACTGTTACATGTGAGGTAGTTTTGAAACAGGATTAAAAAAAACAAAGTGTAGCTCTTACATTAACAAGCTTATACAAAGCAACAAGGCGCAAATAACTTTAATGTAGTTATGTAACCCCAAAACAGTGATTTAAATTGCAAAGTGTTTCCAGCTTCAAAATTTTTTATGTTACATTAGAACAAATAAGTGAAGCGGTTCAATTCTTTATCCATGCTCAAAAGCTGCTATCAGTAATGAATAAGACACCGGCATCAATTTGAAAAATAAGACGTCTTTACTAGTTTCCAGACAGCTTGTTTTCCAAGAAGTACAGAGGTCTGAGTGTAGTCGGTTTCCAGGGCAACTTCTGAAACGACTCTTTTTTCAAACTGTGTGACCTGCAGTTTTCCGAGTTTATTAATGCTCTTTCTGGCTTTCTTGGCAGGAGTTTTCTCTGCCATCCATCACTCTCTTCGAGCGTTGCGGTTTGCGGGGGAAGAGGGTGCTTCTCACCGAAGGATCAGTCAACCTTCAGCTGGCTGGAGGCTGCAGCCGAGTGCAGTCTGTGCTGGTGGAAGGGGGCATGTAAGTTTCCATGTAACATTCCATCCAGTGCACACACCCCCCACACACGCATATATATATATATATATATATATA